ACTGTGATGTGTGATGTCACACCTTTTTCACCAGTTTTTTAATCAAAGTCTATTTAAGGGTTACTGACGGTCCTAATCATGAATATGGTACTAATTATTCATGCTAACTCCATTTTGCGCGAATTTTGAAACGTCAACTCGAAATGCAAAAATTTGTCACCACGAGGAATCGAACTAGGGACCCCTTTTCTGGTATTCAGAGGGCCGTTCAGGAAAAATGAACCATGGTTCTGTGGTTCCCGCATGTGCCCCTATATCATGCAAAAAACCGTTTTGAAAAAGCTTGGCACACCCTGAACGACCTCCCTTGTAAGCGTTTACCAAGAAAATGTGGTAAACATACCACAGGAGAGGACCGTGCTACCGACTGAGAGACGAACAGTCGAGAAAAGGAGAAGACGCCACGAATAGGCTGTAGCGAATTATCAAAGTGGAAAAGAAAACGGGAAGGAAAAGAGCACTTACGTAAACAGTGAAAGCGTATTAAAACACATTCATTCATTTCATAATCCACACTATAACTACTGAAGATTACCGATTATTGGTGCTTTTAGTCAGCATCGAAAAACAAATGAAAAAGGTGTCATTCTATTGGACAACCTCCGACTCACCAATCTGTGCCGCAAACCACAGAGCGTTCCAACAGTATAGGGGGCCGCTGACCCTATTTTACGGATAGGAGAGACAGGGTTGCGTCATAGGACCAGCCATACTCTGCGATTTCTAGACTCGAGACAGCGCGACCCCCCAGAGAAGAGAGTGCCTCTACAGCGGAGGGTAGCTACAACATCACGCGTTCAATGGCAGGTCCTATGGCGCAACCCCGGATCAGCAACCGGAGACGCTTCCCCGGGTTAAGGTTAGGGTAGAGCCGTTAGACAGGAGAAGGTAGCTTAAGCTTTGCGTCAACGAAAGGATGGGGCTGTAAATGGAAAGCGCGCCATTGAGTAGTACTAAGATAACTTCTAGAAAAATTGGAGCAGAGATGCTTCCTGAGACAAGTGCAATCAATATGGTAGTCGTACTGGTCGCAATTACACAATTTTGGCTGAGTCGGTGTTTTCTTACAAAAATATCGACGTTCATTCTCATATCGAGACCCTGGAGAACTTATTCTAGGCCGTTACTCTCACCAA